ATTTCGTTTTTCGTAAAAATGTTAACACTTAAAATGTACAACGTAATAACGCGTGGGTTTCAATCGACATGTCAAGACGTTGGAAGATTAAAAGTCAATGTTAATTGTTAAACATTGTTTGATTCAAGTATTTTAATAACCTGAAGGGTCTTAAAGACCTGTTGGTTTGTAGATTATCATTGGGTTAGACATATATCTACAAATGTAATTTTCTGCATACCAACCGTCATGTCATTATTTTTGATATTTCAGAACATTAACTTGCACTCACAAGGTCCTATTTTTTCTTATAAGCCTTACTACCAAGATACTACACTCTGAGATTCATGATCAATGTGCTCACAACATTGGCAATTGTAGCAATAAAACCCACCTTGTATATTTTTAAATCATGCAGTTTACAATAAAGTTTCTGAGCTCAAATCCCAACGCTTCATCCGTTTGCAGTCAATAAATTGGTTCCACTGGTCAACAGGAAGTCATCAATTTACAATTTGAGTACGACGTTTCGCTTTAGTAACTAATATTGGCACGTTTTGTATACGTGACAAACCTTACTAATTAGCTGTGTCGGGTGGTGGGGGGTTAACGACACATCTACACGATCTAATCCAAACAAACCCTTTTTCATGAATAATATTGGTCACGAAAGCCTACGTGTCAAACTGAGGTCATCAGTTGACCTATGGGAAGTTAACACGATATGAGTATTCAACTTGATACAGATGGGCTCTGCCTAGCTTTTTACAGCAGGGATACACTTGTAGTGGACTTTATTAAATTAAAACCACGTTAATTTGTATTATTATTGTTCTCTATGAAAACATGCATTGCACTCAACAGCTCTGGGTCGTCTTTGCTAGCTATCGATCCAACCCCGGTCCGGAGATCTTTGAGTACATCCAATTGTCTTGTCCCCAATGACGTTGAAGCTCTGAAACAGAAACACGTGATAGTCTCATAATCAACGCTCAGCCATGCTTACAATTAGCAGTGATGAACACGTATGTTTGTTAACACGCGCCTTATTGTTTACTTAAAACGTGGGAAAATGTGTCTAACTTTATAACAAAAAAGTTTTAATTACAAACGTGTGCTTCATAAACTCGTAACGTTTTAGCAGTTGCAGTCGGCTATGTCACCAACTCATTGTGACGTGACGTCTCGCCTGTGCATAACATCCACGCTCGTGTGACCGTTCTCAAGAGAAATTAAAATTGCATAAACTATATAAGCCGAAACGTGATTGTTCCTTATTCTGAAGTGGAATTGCCTTGGTAATAACAAATGCGTGAGGTTCTTTGTCTGCCAACTATCACACTGATGGTATACACACAGATAATGTAAGTCTGCGGTATATTGGTGTCCGTGTATTTATTATTTATTTGTGTGCTTAGTTGGCCTTTCCTCCGTACCTCCAATTAGCACGGTTGGCTACGTACGGTGCGAAAGAAGTTCAACATACAGTTCATAGACTACTACTATAGACATCTACAAGTATGCGAATAATGTAAAAAAGTAGTTTAATTTGCTTTTTGGCACTGTAAAAGGTTTGTTTTGTATTATGCATGTCTGCGTGAACTCTTCTGTTTTAAAAGTGGTTTGGCGTCCTACCATTTAGATTTGGCAACACGCAAAGGTGTACACCATGTTCAAACGCTTGTCAGTTTTACTTTGCGATTGATTGTCTTGTCATGTACAGATTCAAATTATGATCGTAACATTGCAGATAAGCTCTGCTGGGTACTTTTAGAAAATGCTTGCCAATAAATGTGTGAAATGTCAGTGTGACATTTTTTCCCCGCTCCCACATCATTAATGGTTGTCTATCATCAGCCATGGTCAATCCACTGCTGGATAAAGACCTTCCGGAGTCTCTGCCATCGCCTGCAGTCGAGAGATGTAACAATCCACCCAGCAGCTTCGCGTGAGCTAATTTCATCGCTCCATCTCCCTCGTGTACGTACTCACGTCGTCACTGTTCTTAACCATTGACCATTATCCCTTATTGCGACGTGTCCTACCATAGCCCATTTACATGACAACAACCATTCAGAAATCAGATTGCTGAACTGTGCTTGCCCAGCTACTGTGAGTCAGATGGTAGCGCTGGTGGTTCACAAATAATTCTCCTTCCACGCGTTTGTCCCACTGATGTGGAGTATTCCGCTGTCCTTGCCAACCTTCACACTGCCCTGTCTCCACTCTGCCCTGTCTCCACGCCGCCCTGTCTCCACACTCTCCCTGTCTCCAAGCTGCCCTGTCTCCACACTCTCCCAGTCTCCACACTCTCCCTGTCTCCACACTGCCCTGTCTCCACGCCGCCCTGTCTCCACACTCTCCCTGTCTCCACTCTGCCCTGTCTCCACACTCTCCCTGTCTCCACACTGCCCTGTCTCCACGCCACCCTGTCTCCACACTCTCCCTGTCTCCACTCTCTCCCTGTCTCCACGCTGCCCTGTCTCCACTCTGCCCTGTCTCCACGCTGCCCTGTCTCCACACTGCCCTGTCCTGCGCCATCTCTCTCACCGGTCCTCGGGCTACCACCGTGTCCGATCGCACCACATCACCCACCCCCCCCTCTTCTTCTGCCTTCCTCTTGATCTCTGTCCTTCCACTTGCATCACTTACCACCTTCTGACCCACGTAGTTTTCCTGTTGTCACACCCAGAGGCTTCTCTCTCTCATCTTCTCTGTGATTTCTACCACCTTGAGTCTTCCTCTCACTTCTTCATTTCTCACCCTGTCCTTGTCAAACCCAACATCCACCGCAACATCCTCATCTCTGTGACTGCCATAGCTTGGTCCTCCCTATTTCTTGTGCCCCAGCACTCGGCCCATACAACAGCACCGGCCTCACCACCGTCTTGTACACTTTTCCCTTCCACCAAAATGGGACCCTAATGATTCACAAATCATTACTTGAAGTAAAGTGATATATTTGTGTTGACATAACTGTGGTACGTTTGGTTTGAAGTTAAATATTCTATTCGACATTCACAAACGCATTCCATACACTTCTCGGCCAATGGTTCTCAGGCTGACCAGTTGTCAATTCTTTCACAATGTTCACTTTTTCTGAGAATCCTACAGCAATTATGTCAAATTGAATAGAACATCTTAGATATATACATAGTATTTCACTACATTTTGTCCATAAAACAAGTTTTAATGCTTACATTAGCTTTTTTAAATCCATATTTTGTACAAAAAGAGCAGTTTTACCCCGAATTTCCAACAAAGCAGGGCTACCCACAGACTCAAAAGAACCGTGGAACCACTTTCAAGGTATTTATTGACATAATTTATTTTCGCTAAACCATTCTTTGAAAACAATTATTTTTGTCCTTGCAATCATGATCCTGTTGAGCGCAAGAGGAGGATTACGTAAATCGTCAATACCATCCGCCGTATGAGCAATGATGCTTGCATCCCAGTTGTGCGGCGTGATCCTTTTTTTTATAAAGTAGTCACTTTCCTGAACCGACACATTGTTTTCTCATTTTCAAAAGTGATATTCTCTCAGCTGATACGGCTACAAATGAATGTATTAATAAATCAAGCCATTGGCCAATCCTACTTCCAGATGAATGCCTCTCGCAAGCCACTGTTATCTCTCACGGTTCTGCGATGTTAATAATCCACACCTGCACGCGGGCTGATTTCATCGCTCCATCTCCATTGGGGGACATTCATTGCGGGGATCACAAAAAAGATCTCCAAAATCTTGAATAAACACAAGATTCAGGTCCGTTTCAACACATTACATAAAATCCGTGATCTGGTTCCGTCTGTAAAAGATGTGATTCCGGACATACCCTGGTGTCTACAAACTAAGTTGCCTCTGTGGTAGTAGTTACATTGGAGAAACCAAACGCCATGTCTCGGACCGCATTCGTGAACACAAAGCAGACCTTAAACACGGTAGGACCAACACCTCGGCCGTGGCAGATCATTGTTCTAATTCAGTAGGCTCACATGCCATTGACTTTTCCAAGACAGAGGTTCTTTGTAAGCCATCTGGCTTCCATGAGAGATTCGTTCATGAGGCTATCCACATATACAAGCACAGAGACAATTTCAACCGAGAAGATGGATTCTATCTTAGCAATCATTGGAAAGATTTGATAAACCATTTCAGGTCTTAATTGATTGTTCACGCTTACAGTGGCTTTCAGACAGCATACATTATAAAAAAAATTCGTCTCCCCCCTCCTCTTTTCAGAATATAGATGGATTAGTCCTAAATAAACTGCCAAATCGTTGCGCGTGGCGCTAACGTTTTTTTATTATAAATAAATAAATGCGCCGTTTAAAAATACATTTATGCAAACCAACACACCTGAAGATGACCGTTTGAGTTATGGTCGAAACGTCGTGAGAATTTTTTATTGTTTTATATATATTTTATTATTTTGTTGTTTCCCTTCAACGTGACTTTACCGAAAAAACTAAGAATATGAATTACTGCAGTCACGAAAGCTTTAAATCAAAAAATAGATTAATATCTTAATGCATATTAAGAAAGTATGGTCTGGTGCACATGAACAGAAAGCTTAGGACTTTTGGCATTTTGGGAATGTACAAAAAAATATATTTTAGCATCTAAAGATGTTAACAAGGACCATCACCTAGACCAAAATGGGGGGATACTGTTCGGGAAGATGTCAATTGCCTAGTGTGCAGTCGCTACTTGTCCAGAGTTGACCCAGACTGTCCAGAATTGGCATGTCTTCAGGTGGCAGGATCGACTTGTACTGAGATTTGGTACCGGCGGTGTTCAACTTTACTGCAGTATGCTGCATAGCTTTGGTAAACCTCAGCTGACTGAGAAATGTGTCCCGGTTTGGTCTGTGGAAAAGGTGGCAACCATGTGTGGCATCCACAGGCAGAGGGTGGAGTGCATTGGCAAGGTGTGGTAACACATCGATGGCTTCAGCCATGATGGCAACTTAATCTTGGTGTTGGGAGGCATGAAGAAGACACCATTTGACACTCGCTTCAAAGAAATTTGGTATTTTATTCCGTGATAATTTTCAACAATAAAAAAACACAATTGTTTACATATTTTTTTTTCTTAAGTTCACACGATAACTATCAGGAATGTCTTGTGAATGATTTGTGCAAAATAAGTAAACACAACCAGTGATTCATCACAAATATAATTTACTTTCCCCAAATTTATTTAGGTTCGAAGTTAAAGTCTCACATTCACTTTTAAACTGGAATTGTGTAAGTATATTAACATAATAATTTTTAAACTTATGATAAGGGCAAATGGTAGCACCACAGGCATCGAGATGCAATGGGATCTCATTGAGGTAGAGCTGTATATAAAAAGTGGAATCCTCCCCTTCATTGGCACAGTTGGTCTCCTCGTCACGCTCACAACTGCCCAAACCCTCACACTGTGACAACACAAAGACAAGATTTGATGCATAAGGACAAAATGTGCTGGTCCGGAAATTGCGGTCATGCATCGAAGAATAATTATCATACAAGAGGTCAGCTTTATCTTTGAAAAAACCCAGCAATGTGAGTAACGGGATGAGTGTTTCTGCGTGTCCAAATCGCAAAACTGCCGGTGTTGATACTTGTCTCAACCTAAACGAAGACAAACACACACATACACACATGAACACTGGGTTTCAATGTGCTCATGCAGCAGCTTTATCACAGAGAAATCAAATCAATACCTTGCAAGCAAGAAGAGAAAGGCAATAATACAATTGCCTATCAAATGGATGGATTGACAAACTGAATTTTTTACTGGTAGGAACCTCTTGGTTACACCAGCCCACAGGGGATTATTGTGTCCGTCCGTCGTGCATCGAAAAATGGGAGGGGTGGGGCTGGGTGGAGAGGGGAAGGTGGGGAGGGAGGGGCTGGGTGGGGAGGGTGGGGCTGGGTGGGGAGGGTGGGGCTAGGTGGGGAGGGGCTGGGTGGGGAGGGGCTGGGTGGGGAGGGGCTAGGTGGGGAGGGTGGGGTTGGGTGGGGAGGGGTTGGTCACCCCGTGGTGCCCTTATAAAACTCAACGTTTAACCTACTCACGCCGGCTTGTGCCCTCCTTCACAGTCGGGCATATTTGCGGAATACACCACGTGGTGCCGCCGTTGACCCTGGCCATTGACCGAGCAACCCAACGTTCCTACCAGCCCCCTCCGCAGGAGAATGTGTTTTGTTGGACTCTTTATTCGGAAGGCACTTCTGAAATTCCTCAAGTTTATCTATGAATGGGTTATGATGTCCATATTTTTATTCCCTTTAAAACATGTTTCAAACAATGTTTTAATGACGAAATAAAGATGTCAAAACTTATTTTGAAAGTGGGTACATTTTTAATTTTTTAAATCATATAAAAAAAACATTTTCAATATTAAAAAAATATACGGAAGAAAATTTCTGATTTTGGAAATGTTATTGACAATACAAATTCCCAATGAGCTGAACTGTCATTCTCGGTAGGAACTGTGGTTCATGCCACTGTGTAGCATATTATTATTATTACGTGCCAGGGACTCTATGAGATGATAGGACAATAGTCCGAGTCCATAATTGGCAATAAGTAACGGTAAAGCATCTTCTTTGGTTCTTTCGGTAAAGTCACGTAGAATGAGAATAAAATAATAAATTGATAAAACAAAATAACACAATAATATTCTCACGACGTTTCGGCCACAACACAAGCGGCCTATTTTATTTTATCAATTTATTATTTTATTCTCATTCTACGTGACTTTACCGAAAGAACCAAAGAAGATGAATCCTTGCAGTCACGAAAGCTTTAAATCGAAATTTAACGGTAAAGCAGTTATAATTGACTCACAGAATTGTGCGAAGTTGCGTTTTCAGTACACGACTTCCCTGAAGGCATTCAGCTTCAGCGAGCGCGATGCCGATCACACAACGCGGTTCAAATTCGACCCTCGATCGATGGCTGCGCCATCGCCGCACACGCGTAATAAAAAGCAAGGGACAAGTCCTTACTAACAACTCCTCTTATCATTTTTCATTGCTGGAGGGGTTGCCCACCTACCTGAAAATCCTGGCTCTGCCATTGCTGAGGATGGTTTGTGAACATGAGGAATGGGGAAATATGGGGTAATCCACTTATATATAGACACCCCACTTAAATTACAGGAAAAGCAGAAATTTTATTTAAAAGCCTCTACGTGTCTCCCAGCAATCTCAGTACAACTAATTCAATCTTTGAATACTCTCCTTTGTAAGACGTAGATCTTTCGCTTTCACAATACTAAATGGCCTGCTGAAAAGACTGCAAGAGGGCCAGAGTGGTGAATTCATATTCTTTGCATCTTTCGGTAAAGTCACGTAGATAGGTTTTTTTATATAATGTAAACCCCACCGTTGGAGAGCCAAATCCTTCGCAAGCGCGCGAACACAGACCCACAATTCTGTTTTTACTTATATATAAATAAATAAATATTGGTCGCGGAAGACTGTGTTAAACCCACAATTCCTTTGTTCTGACTTTACAAACCTTCGTAAGATGATCTTGCGCACATTTAGCACCAACAGATATGCACAAGTGATAACTTTTCTTAGGCCTAGGTTATAATTCCCAATTGCAACCACATTGTTTATTATTTTATTTGGAATACCGAGCAATGCAAATACTTCTCATGGCATTACTTCAGTATAATTCAACACTCTCTCAACTGCACATCCCCAGCGTTTTGATGACTCTGCCATCTTCTCGCAGAATAAATAGCGCTGTAGGAAGCTTAACTGTGCCTTTCAAATCGAACAACACAAAAGTGCTGGGCGGCAGACAGCAGTGCAGCAAAATCTATTGAACTACGCTTCAACGGTTGCACGGCTATGCTGCTCGCACTGAGCAGCGTGCCAAAGTGCAGCCACCTCTCGTTTTACGCGGGGGTTGTGTTCTTGAAAAATGGCGCCGCGTAACTCAAGATCGCGTGAATGAAACTTAATTTTCCAAAAAGAAAAAAAGGAAATGGTTGGGGTTAGGGAAGAGCACACTATCGAACCTCATTCCGATGTCGACATATTTCACTGGTTATGGTACATAATATACAGTAAACCCTTGTTAATTCGACACATATGGAGCTCTAGACTTGCCGAATTTTCCAATATTCAGAATTATGTACAACGGTACTCCCCAGTGCCTCCTGCCCCAATAAATAAATTCCTAAAAAAGGTAACACTTACCATCACTAACCAGCACTGCAGGCGAAGGAGGAGGTTCCATGTGGCAGGTGACAGAGGTGGAGGGGGGCTTAATGTACTTAGTATGCATTAACTGTACTGTATCTTCACTTTATCACAAAATTATAACTTAAAACACCAAATTAAACGAACTTAAACGTCACATTTTTCACTAAACAATTAATGTACAACAGTGGCAGTACGATCAGATTTGGGCACCGTGGTGGGGAAATGTTAACTCCCTCGCCTGGTATACAGGAGGCCATGGGTTTGATTCCGACCCTGACGCCTGCTGCTGTATATTTGGAATTTGCATGTCTCTCTCCCCGCGGTCGTGTGGATTTTTCTCCGGGACCTCCGGTTTTACCCTCCACGTTTAGAAACAAGCGTTTGCAGTAATTGGCTGCTATAAATTTCCACGTGATAAAACGCTTCGTTGAGCTATCATTTGTGGCCAGGTCACATCTGAAAAAAGCAGTGCAGCTCAGTGTGCCTTACCTGGTAAAATAAAGAAGTTTAGTTTAATACATGTTCCAGTTGAACTTACTTTTGCCTCTCAGTAACTGCCTGGTCCAAACCAGTAAATATATCCTGCAGCAGCACACAGCTGATCCGGCTGTTGATTGGATAACCTCTCCCCCGCAGCCAGAAGTGCTTCAAATCCCCCAGATACTCCAGTACCTGCAACACATGCATAAAATAATTTTGAAAATGAACCATAATGTAACAAAAGGGACACTCACAGCAATTAGATTAAGCTTAATTTACACGTCAGATGATGTAGAGATATCCATGTCAGAGGAGGTAATGTGATATCATTTCCATCAATCTTCTTGGGGAAAAAGTGACCGCCAATTGTACATAAAGTGGCAAAATCTCTGCAACTGATGGCGGTCTTCATTTTTACTTTATTCCTCTTAGTCTATCAGTCTGATTCCACACGTGCTTTTGTTCCATCTTCTTTATCCGTGTCAATCAGAGCAAGTAATTCATTTATAAATTAAGATGTGAAATATCCTTCGGTATATATGTTGTGTAACACTTCTTTTGTTTTGACGAGTATTTATTTTACTGAAGGCAGAGAGTGGTTTGTTATCTAATATACACGGTCACCACTATAAGAGTAACGTATATTCTAATGATGTACCAGAAGAGCTAGAAAGCTCAAATGTGTTTGTTTCTTTTATGTAGGCATCCAAAATGTACAGCCCAGATTTAGATTGCTCTCACTTGAACAACCAGGTTGGCCTAAAGTTCAGCAATTCTTTAAGCTTTGTGTACAATATGAAAAAATATGTCGATCTCAAAATCTCCATCATCCGTGAGCCAAGTAATTTGCCTTTTGTGGGGGAGTGCGATGCCAAAGTCAATCAAAAGTGGGCACTGACTGCTCTTGGGTCCAAAGTAAATGGCATAGAGATTAAGCTGCCTTCACGGTACCTAAGCTTCCCGTGGAAGGAATTAACAAAGCACTGACAGTCAATGGATAACATATACATTTCATTTGGGCAGTCCCCGACTTGCAAACGAGTTCCATTCCCGAGACCCGTTCGTATTTAAATGCACATATGGTTTGTGTTATAAAATGTGTTATGTATGGATGTTAAACTTCTTTCGCACCGTACGTAGCCAACCGTGCTAATCAGAGGTGCAGGGGGGTTACGGTGAAACAAAAAATCTAAGCATTGTTAAACTCATAAATAAGAAGACATTGTATATTTGTATATTTGCCTAACCAAATAGTTCCGCGGTTCGGTTCGAAAGTGCGAGTTCACATTCCCAAGTTGGATGGTTAAACATAAATATCTTATGGAAGCTCGTCCGTAAGCGCAGATGTTCATAAATCTGGCGCTCATAAGTCGGGGACTGCTGGTATATGTAGGTGTATGATGGTGTGTGCGGAACACACCTTGGCGTCTTCAGCATCGAAGAGTTCACACCAAGTTGAGTGTGTCCCATTCACCGCGAGTTCAAAGGAGCAGACGTAAAATGCGGCTTGAATTAATTCTAAAAAAATGCAAGTAAAAAGTGCGTGAACATCTTTTGCAGGAATTTTTATTGAGTTAAAATAATATGCTTAATGTATCATTCAAAGTAGCTTAAGTTAACATTCATAAAAAAGAGGAAAACATCTTCTTTGGTTCTTTCGGTAAAGTCACGTAGAATGAGAATAAAATAATAAATTGATATATTATTATTTTATTCTCATTCTACGTGACTTTACCGAAAGAACCAAAGAAGATTAATCATTGCAGTCACGAAAGCTTTAAATAGAGGAAAACATGTCAGCAATCGTTTATTTGCGGATTCACTTGGCCGGTCGGTCAGTTAGTCGGGCCGGGCCTTGGTACCTTATTAGAGGCTCCTATTGACAGATGGTTGAGTTTCAGCCACCACTGAGCAGTCACCACTCATTATAACTTGAACCTCTTTTTAAGTACACTGAGGCTGGGTCCTATTGTTATTAATTTTGTTTACTTACATTGTTTTTCAACACTGCCTTTCTCAACAGCTGCATCCGTGCATACTATATTACAATACCAAACTACTTTTTAAAATGTTGTTTACTTATGTTTTCCCTTAACCTTGGTTATTCAACATCTTTCTACTGCCGTATTTAGAGTTTTGGCACTTCCTGCGCCTGTAATTGTATTCATTTCATTGTTGTTTTTCCACTTCTGGAACTAATGATAGAAAATCATGGAAAAGGGGAAACAACAAACATCTTTAGCATCTTCACCATCTCAAATTCAATTTCAGAGATTAAATAAAAAAGCTAAACGGGACCTTTTTGCCAGTATCAAAGTACGAAAAAAATTATAATAGGTTTTACCCTTTCTGGCAATAAAACAGGTGTTAAGATGCCCAAACACCAAATAAGATATATTTTGCAAGGAATCATGTCTGCATTAACCACACAAGTACTTGTTTGATTCCAAGTGCTAGCACTTAGTAACGGCAACTCATGGACTTGTGAGTTTTCCCCACCGTTGTGAATAATTGACATTCATGAAATGTCCTGAAGGTGACCTCTTTGTGTGTTGACACCATGGATTTGCTAAATTGATAACCCAGGCCTGTGTATCTTTGACAGATTCACTGAGGAAATCTCAGTTATAGTACAGCTTTAACTAAAACGTGGGCATAGGATTGTTTTCTTGTGCATAAACAGTCCATTTCTTTTTTTATTTAAAGCTTTCGTGACTTCAGTAATTCATATTCTTAGCTCTTTCGGTAAAGTCACGTTGAAGGGAAACAATAAAATAATAAAATATATATAAAACAATAAAAATTCTCACGACGTTTCGACCATAACACAAACGTGACTTTACCGAAAGAGCTAAGAATATGAAATAGTCCATTTCTTTTTTTATTTTGCTAGTTGGGTGCCCTTACTTCTTGTGACGTGTTCTTGAGGCACGCCGATCCTCTCCGAGATTTTTTGCTGCACGTTCCACATCTCTTTGCCCTCCATGAAGGCGATCACGTGGTAGAGCGCACTCACATTTTCTTTCACATTTTCAACAAACCTTTCGCACTCGTCAAAGAATCTCATGACCCGGTCGTCGACTGTAATCTCCGGGTAATGTGCAGGCTGGTGGTGCCAGAGAGCATGCATGAAGGCTGTGGCGCTTTGGACACAACGTGGCTTGGAGCTGCTGAGGAATCGCAGGGATTTGTGATTGACGGCCCACGTGCCTAATAAATCCGGGAATCGTTCAGCAAGCCGCTCGGCCAGTTGCGCTTCATCTCGAGCTCCCTTCTCGACCAGCTCTCCGCCGAGCTCTTCACGGAACCAGAAATGCCACTCGCCAATCTTCCACGCGAGTGCCGAGGTGCCGGCAGCCATCAACTGATGCATGTTTCGCATGGCGCGTATTTGACGGGCCGTGGGCAAACGAGTCCCGTGGCGGATCACAGCATTGAGGTGTATTGCCCGACATTCCCCTTCACCTACCCATCCACTGAACTTGCTCACGTCCTCGTAACGTGTTTTGGTGCCAAAGTGGCCACACAGTGGGGTCAGGCAAGGTGGAGTATTTGCAGTGTCCTCCAAAGAATGAGTCGATTTGATGAACAATGAAATGAGCAACAATACCAAAGCCATCGGATCTTTATGCCAATACAGGAGCCGTCGTAAGGCCATGGGAGTGTGCAGCGTGGCTCCCACCGATGGCTCGTTCTGCAGGAGGACATACACGAGATGCAACATCGTTAGTTTACTTGCGGCAGAATGGCAATGATAAAAACGTCAAGGCTACGGTGTCTGCGACTACGCCGAAACACCTGCCCATTGCAACAATTGCAGAAACGAGCAGAGGTGGGGTCGACATCCATCCTTCAAGGTCTACGATTACAATATAGCACCACCCGACTGGAGCTCTTCGCCTCATTGTGATGCAGCTGTTCACAGACCAGACGCTTATTTTCTATTTGCTCTGTTACAGTCCGGCTCTTCTACCGTTTCAAAGTGGTTCATGTAGTCCATCAAAAACCCACTTTGCAAATGTTATGCAATGTGTTTTTCTCTCATACCAACACCATTTATTACACACATTATTAAATTAAGCAGACACCACCTCCTATGTCAGCCATGGCCAGAAATCCAACTTTAGGTGGCAGGGTTCATAGCTTCGTGCATTAAACATTGCACAGAGACATTTGGCAATGCAGTACAGTAGTTCCAAACTGTCTATCACAAGGGTGTAGAATTCACAAAATCACTTGAAAGGTACGCAATTTAAAATCACAACAAACTATGCTGAAGGCAGTGCAGTCATACCTAGTTTTATCAAGATACATATACACTGTATATAAATAATATAATGCAGTCAAGTTTGAGTGATTGATTTCCAGCTCCAATGAGCATTGAGAACGGTGATAATGACCGTATTTTCCCGCATAGAGCCCGCAAAAATAGCGTTGTGTGTAAAACAAATTTCAGATAGCCCGCACCTCCATATACCCTGCATGCATTCATATCTTTAACGTTGTTGCCGCAACTTAATTCCATCATATAATACGAGGTTTACATTTGTAATACATCCCACTATCCATTGTTAACATTAAAATCATAACGTTGCTAAAAAACACAAACTAACCCGAAACGAGTGAACTTAAAACAGTAAATAAGTAACAAAATTAAATATCCAATAAAGAACACGTAACTGTATATAAGTACAGTTTTAGCAGTGGTAGATTGCACACTGCGCAGATAATAGCGGCACTACGGTGCCTCGCCCCCCACCCCCCTCTCTCTCCCCCAGCTGCCCCACCCCCCAACCCCCACCTCTCCCTCCCCCCAGCTCTCCGTGGCCGGTAAAGTGCGCGCACTTCAAACATTGTCGTTTAATTGTACAAACAATTCATTTAAAACGTGATAACACGTGCAATTTTAGTGTCAGTGGTTCATTCAGCAGTGCTTTAGTCAAAGGTTGCATAGTGGATAGTCCTACCATGAACACATTTAAACGAGTCATGACATGTCACGCGTGTAAAATATTTTTGGGATAGCCCGCACCTCCATATACGCCGCAGGCTCTTGTTTTGTTTGTAAAAAGTGGCATACCCCGCGGGTTATATGCGGGAAAATACGATAGTTTGCAGCCCTTGAAGCAACTGGTGAAATGTAGACGTTCCCATGACGGGGGAGAGTCTTTCCATAAGGAGCAGTGCATCAACGCTTAAAATATCTGCATTCTAAAACGCACATTCAAGTGAATGTGCTATAATGATATATTCACTACGTTTCCAAGTGTGCCTCGTGCAACCTTACGCACTCGTTTAGCTTCTGTTCCGTTGCCTTTTGTCAATATCCTTACAACTAACTAGACACAGTACACACACACACAGTACACACACACAGTACACACACACAGTACACACCGTACACAGTACACACAGTACACACAGTACACACACACACAGTACACACACACACACAGTACACACACACACACAGTACACACACACACACAGTACACACACACCGTACACACAGTGCACACACACCGTACACACAGTACACACACAGTACACACAGTAAAGTAAGTAACCCTCACGCAGTGTCCCTTGTGAGTACCGGAGCGGTGGTCAGCGCGCTGTGGCCGGGTTCTTAGCACGTGGCGCTGACCGCCAACACCACCACCACGGCTGCTGCTGGCTGGCTGGCACGCACGCGATCCTAAGGGCCGCAATCAGCTGCAATCCTTCGTTATGAACTCCCGATTGTTACTTTTTTGTAACAATATCAATCGTAATAATTTTAATGTAACTCATGTGTACCGGGAAAGCCTCGACGAGTCGCACACCATTTTCATGATTGCCGAGTGGCGCAGCTGTTTATTGCAATACGATTGCGCAATGCGTGGGGGGAGCGGTGGTGCCGCGGTTAGCGCTACCAACCCGCCAGAGAACCCGAGTTCGATTCCCGCTCACGGCACAACACCACAGTGACGATCGTTTGAACCGGTCCTGGGCCTCCCCCTAGATCGGCTCGGCCTTAAACGAGTACCTGGTGTGGATTCCTAGCCAAGACCAACCCGCACCAACCGGCGTGGTGAAGTATGGCTAATCTACAGACACGGCGTGGTGAAGTATGGATAATCAACAGACACGGCGTGGTGAAGTATGGCTAATCTAGACACGGCGTGGTGAAGTATGGCTAATCTAGACACAGCGTGGTGAAGTATGGCTAATCTACAGACACGGCGTGGTGAAGTATGGCTAATCTAGACACGGCGTGGTGAAGTATGGCTAATCTAGACACGGCGTGGTGAAGTATGGCTAATCTACAGACACGGAGTGATGAAGTATGGCTAATCTACAGACACGGCGTGGTGAAGTATGGCTAATCTACAGACACGGAGTGGTGAAGTATGGCTAATCTAGACACGGCGTGGTGAAGTATGGCTAATCAACAGACACGGAGTGGTGAAGTATGGCTAATCTAGACACGGCGTGAAGTATGGCTAATCTAGACACGGCGTGGTGAAGTATGGCTAATCTACAGATACGGCGTGGTGAAGTATGGCTAATCTACAGACACGGAGTGGTGAAGTATGGCTAATCTAGACACGGCGTGGTGAAGTATGGCTAATCTACAGACACGGAGTGATGAAGTATGGCTAATCTACAGACACGGAGTGGTGAAGTATGGCTAATCTACAGACACGGCGTGGTGAAGTATGGCTAATCTGCAGACACGGAGTGGTGAAGTATGGCTATTTGACAGTCGGTGAAGTATGGCTAATCTAGACACGGCGTGAAGTATGGCTAATCTAGACACGGCGTGGTGAAGTATGGCTAATCTACAGACACGGCGTGGTGAAGTATGGCTAATCTAGGCACGGCGTGGTGAAGTATGGCTAATCTAGACACGGCGTGGTGAAGTATGGCTAATCTACAGACACGGAGTGGTGAAGTATGGCTAATCTAGACACGGCGTGAAGTATGGCTAATCTAGACACGGCGTGGTGAAGTATGGCTAATCTACAGACACGGCGTGGTGAAGTATGAATAATCTAGACACGGCGTGAAGTATGGCTAATCTAGACACGGCGTGGTGAAGTATGGCTAATCTAGACACGGCGTGGTGAAGTATGGCTAATCTAGACACGGTGTGGTGAAGTATGGCTAATCTAGACACGGCGTGGTGAAGTATGGCTAATCTAGACACGGCGTGGTGAAGTATGGCTAATCTAGACACGGCGTGGTGAAGTATGGCTAATCTAGACACGGCGTGGTGAAGTATGGCTAATCTAGACACGGCGTGGTGAAGTATGGCTAATCTAGACACGGCGTGGTGAAGTATGGCTAATCTAGACACGGCGTGGTGAAGTATGGCTAATCTAGACACGGCGTGGTGAAGTATGGCTAATCTAGACACGGCGTGGTGAAGTATGGCTAATCTAGACACGGCGTGGTGAAGTATGGCTAATCTAGACACGGCGTGGTGAAGTATGGCTAATCTAGACACGGCGTGGTGAAGTATGGCTAATCTAGACACGGCGTGGTGAAGTATGGCTAATCTAGACACGGCGTGGTGAAGTATGGCTAATCTAGACACGGCGTGGTGAAGTATGGCTAATCTAGACACGGCGTGGTGAAGTATGGCTAATCTAGACACGGCGTGGTGAAGTATGGCTAATCTAGACACGGCGTGGTGAAGTATGGCTAATCTAGACACGGCGTGGTGAAGTATGGCTAATCTACAGACACGGCGTGGTGAAGTATGGCTAATCTACAGACACGGCGTGGTGAAGTATGGCTATTTGACAGTCGGTGAAGTATGGCTAATCTAGACACGGCGTGGTGAAGTATGGCTATTTGACAGTCGGTGAAGTGTGGCAGGAAGCCTTCATCCAGCAGTGGTGGTTTGCCGAGCAGCTGTAGATTATAACTTTGTATCATTACTGGTGTTAGTTACAGAGTTAGTAACCCTGTTGGTGTTAGTTATAGAGTTAGTAACCCTGTTGGTGTTAGTTACAGAGTTAGTAACCCTGCTGGTGTTAGTTATAGAGTTAGTAACTCTGGCGGTGTTAGTTACAGAGTTAGTAACCCTGTTGGTGTTAGTTACAGAGTTAGTAACCCTGTTGGTGTTAGTTACAGAGTTAGTAACCCTGCTGGTGTTAGTTACAGAGTTAGTAACTCTGCTGGTGTTAGTTACAGAGTTAGTAACCCTGCTGGTGTTAGTTACAGAGTTAGTAACCATGTTGGTGTTAGTTATAGAGTTAGTAACCCTGTTGGTGTTAGTTACAGAGTTAGTAACTCTGTTGGTGTTACAGAGTTAGTAACTCTGCTGGTGTTAGATAACAGAGTTAGTAACTCTGCTGGTGTTAGTTACAGAGTTAGTAACTCTGTTAGTTACAGAGTTAGTAACCCTGTTGGTGTTAGTTACAGAGTTAGTAACCCTGCTGGTGTTAGTTACAGAGTTAGTAACCCTGTTGGGGTTAGTTACAGAGTTAGTAACCCTGTTGGTGTTAGTTACAGAGTTAGTAACCCTGTTGGTGTTAGTTATAGAGTTAGTAACTCTGCTGGTGTTAGTTACAGAGTTAGTACCCCTGCTGGTGTTAGTTACAGAGTTAGTAACCCTGTTGGTGTTACAGAGTTAGTAACTCTGCTGGTGTTAGATAACAGAGTTAGTAACTCTGCTGGTGTTAGTTACAGAGTTAGTAACTCTGTTAGTTACAGAGTTAGTAACCCTGTTGGTGTTAGTTACAGAGTTAGTAACTCTGCTGGTGTTAGTTACAGAGTTAGTAACTCTGTTGGTGTTAGTTACAGAGTTAGTAACCCTGCTGGTGTTAGTTACAGAGTTAGTAACCCTGTTGGGGTTAGTTACAGAGTTAGTAACCCTGTTGGTGTTAGTTACAGAGTTAGTAACCCTGTTGGTGTTAGTTATAGAGTTAGTAACTCTGCTGGTGTTAGTTACAGAGTTAGTAACCCTGTTGGTGTTAGTTACAGAGTTAGTAACCCTGTTGGTGTTAGTTATAGAGTTAGTAACTCTGCTGGTGTTAGTTACAGAGTTAGTAACCCTGCTGGTGTTAGTTACAGAGTTAGTAACTCTGCTGGTGTTAGTTACAGAGTTAGTAACCCTGCTGGTGTTAGTTACAGAGTTAGTAACCCTGTTGGTGTTAGTTACAGAGTTAGTAACCCTGTTGGTGTTAGTTACAGAGTTAGTAACCCTGTTGGTGTTAGTTACAGAGTTAGTAACCCTGCTGGTGTTAGTTACAGAGTTAGTAACCATGTTGGTGTTAGTTACAGAGTTAGTAACCCTGCTGGTGTTAGTTACAGAGTTAGTAACTCTGCTGGTGTTAGTTACAGAGTTAGTAACTCTGTTGGTGTTAGTTACAGAGTTAGTAGCCCTGCTGGTGTTAGTTACAGAGTTAGTAACTCTGTTGGTGTTAGTTACAGAGTTAGTAAACCTGCTGGTGTTAGTTATAGAGTTAGTAACTCTGCTGGTGTTAGTTTACAGAGTTAGTAACTCTGCTGGTGTTAGTTACAGAGTTAGTAACCCTGCTGGTGTTAGTTACAGAGTTAGTAACCCTGTTGGTGTTAGTTACAGAGTTAGTAACCCTGCTGGTGTTAGTTACAGAGTTAGTAACCCTGCTGGTATTAGTTACAGAGTTAGTAACTCTGCTGGTGTTAGATAACAGAGTTAGTAACTCTGCTGGTGTTAGTTACAGAGTTAGTAACCCTGCTGGTGTTAGTTACAGAGTTAGTAACCCTGTTGGTGTCAGTTACAGAGTTAGTAACCCTGTTGGTGTTAGTTACAGAGTTAGTAACCCTGTTGGTGTCAGTTACAGAGTTAGTAACCCTGCTGGTGTTAGTTACAGAGTTAGTAACTCTGTTGGTGTTAGTTACAGAGTTAGTAACCCTGCTGGTGTTAGTTACAGAGTTAGTAACCCTGCTGGTGTTAGTTACAGAGTTAGTAACTCTGCTGGTGTTAGTTACAGAGTTAGTAACTCTGTTGGTGTTAGTTACAGAGTTAGTAGCCCTGCTGGTGTTAGTTACAGAGTTAGTAACTCTGCTGGTGTTAGTTTACAGAGTTAGTAACTCTGCTGGTGTTAGTTACAGAGTTAGTAACCCTGCTGGTGTTAGTTACACAGTTAGTAACCCTGCTGGTGTTAGTTACAGAGTTAGTAACCCTGCTGATATTAGTTACAGAGTTAGTAACTCTGCTGGTGTTAGATAACAGAGTTAGTAACTCTGCTGGCGTTAGTTACAGCGTTAGTAACCCTGCTGGTGTTAGTTACAGAGTTAGTAACCCTGTTGGTGTTAGTTACAGAGTTAGTAACTCTGCTGGTGTTAGTTACAGAGTTAGTAACTCTGCTGGTGTTAGTTACAGAGTTAGTAACCCTGCTGGTGTTAGTTACAGAGTTAGTACCTCTGCTGGTGTTAGTTACAGAGTTAGTAACCCTGTTGGTGTCAGTTACAGAGTTAGTAACCCTGCTGGTGTTAGTTACAGAGTTAGTAACTCTGTTGGTGTTAGTTACAGAGTTAGTAACCCTGCTCGTGTTAGTTACAGAGTTAGTAACTCTGCTGGTGTTAGTTACAGAGTTAGTAACTCTGTTGGTGTTAGTTACAGAGTTAGTAGCCCTGCTGGTGTTAGTTACAGAGTTAGTAACTCTGTTGGTGTTAGTTACAGAGTTGGTAACCCTGCTGGTGTTAGTTACAGAGTTAGTAACCCTGCTGGTATTAGTTACAGAGTTAGTAACTCTGCTGGTGTTAGATAACAGAGTTAGTAACTCTGCTGGTGTTAGTTACAGAGTTAGTAACCCTGCTGGTGTTAGTTACAGAGTTAGTAACCCTGTTGGTGTTACTTACAGAGCTAGTAACTCTGTTGGTGTTAGTTACAGAGTTGGTAACCCTGCTGGTGTTAGTTATAGAGTTGAGTTAGTAACTCTGCTGGTGTTAGTTTACAGAGTTAGTAACTCTGCTGGTGTTAGTTACAGAGTTAGTAACCCTGTTGGTGTTAGTTACAGAGTTAGTAACCCTGCTGGTGTTAGTTACAGAGTTAGTAACCCTGCTGGTATTAGTTACAGAGTTAGTAACTCTGCTGGTGTTAGTTTACAGAGTTAGTAACTCTGCTGGTGTTAGTTACAGAGTTAGTAACCCTGTTGGTGTTAGTTACAGAGTTAGTAACC